ACCTGCAGATGTTTTTTGAGATTGGCCGTAGAATTGAGCGCACAGCTATAGGTCTGTTTCGTAGCTGGAGGACAAAGCTTGCAACGTACACGAACGTTTTTGTTGTCTATTTCAATTTTCGTAAAAAATTCGGTAAATACTGAACGTTCAAAAGAATTTTCAATTTGCTTTGAGTCCGCCATTGAGTTTGTCAAAAATTAAATTAGCTTTTTTATCGCTCACAACCAACTAGAACTTCCTATAACCATAAACATAAAAATACTTAACAAATATTATTGATTGACATAGGCTCGTTCAGGCGCCAATAAACACACATGCGCATGCGCACACATGATACAACAACGACCAAAGTAACTAGTAAAGTAACTAGCAATTTGCGTTACTAGTTACTGATAAAAGTAACTAGTTACTTAGACTAGTCACAGTTCAGTAAAAGTAACTAGTTACAGAATTAGTTACTTCAAATTGTAACTAGTTACAGTAACTAGCGTTACTGTAACTAGTTACTACCCAGCACTGTATAGGCATGTGGTACCTTAACTTTATCCCTCCACCTGTGTTACCCTCGAAAAATCTTCCAATCCAGTTGAAGCCTTGAGGAGCCGGAAATCATAGCACCAAAGAGCCTTGGTATGTAATGCTAAAATCGCTTTTTAGGACCAGGGTCGGCCTTAGACATTGGCAAACTAGGCAGCCGCCTAGGGATTCCGATTGGTGGGGGCCTCGCATAAGAAAACTTTTTTTTCTAGAAAAAACTGCGAAACTTATATCTCAAACCTTGCAAACCTCTATCGTGACCTCCGTGCATGTCGAAGGCGCCGCCTCTATTGCTCTCTGTCTGCTATACTAAATCTAAGTTTTTATTCCGACTCTAGGTTTATTAAAAAAAAGTTTAGACTTGTTAAGAGAAGTGGTTCGGGCTATTATGCAGGAAAAAAGTCACGAATACGGTCACGGAAGATTTTAAAAAAAAAAATCATAGAGCGCTACTTTCATGCTTATAACATGCTCAGAGCGCTTTGGTCCAATCTCATTTGTGGACCGGTGGGGGAAGGGGGTATCTAGGAGTTGGTTTTCTGTGCTGCCTTTAGGCGCTCAGTAAACCCAACTCTGCCCGAGTCGGGTGTCGAACCTCGAGCCCCCTTCATAGGTAGCCAAGCCAAACGTACTCAACATCTCAACCACGCATCCCAAGTATCTATCTTATCTTATCTTATATAATACAGACGTTACTTCAAAAAAGAAGATGATTACGTCCTACGCGTCATGCATTTAGTCATGCATATTAACCAATGACTTAAATTCTGCCAAGTCACTGTTTTTTCTGGCTAGCTCAGGCAACCCATTCCATGCTCTAATAGCACTAGGGAAGAAGGAGTATTTGTACAAATTTGTCCTAGCATATGGGACGAGGAATGTGCCTTTATTTTTGTGTCTTTCAGAGTATTTTATTAGATTTTGTTTTTGTATTTGAAGGTTATGGTTCAGTGTTTTATGTATAATTGCTACTTTACTTTTGAGTCTTCTGTCCTGAAGGCTTCCTAAATTTAGTGATTTTACTAATGGTGTTACTCTAGTCAAATGTGAATATTCGTTTGTTATGAATCTCACTGCTCTATTTTGTGTTTGTTCCAGTTTCTTAATGTTTTCTTGAGTTGAGGGGTCCCAAACGGTGGATGCATATTCTATAATTGGCCTAACCAAGGTTAAATAACATTTTAGTTTTATGTTCTTATTTGATTTATAGAAATTTCTTTTAATAAACCCTAATGCTTTGTTTGATTTTTGTATAGTTTCATCAATATGTGGATTCCATGACAGTTTTTCATTTATTATAACACCTAGGTATTTTGCGTTTTTAGTCTGTGTTACTGGTTTGCCTATCTATCTATCTATTTATCTATCTTTGGTCTAATCTCATTCGTGGACCAGTGGGGAGAGGGGGGGTATCTGGGAGAAGGTTTTCTGTGCTGCCTTTAGGCGATCAGTAAACACAGCTCTGCTTGAGTCGGGTGTCGAACCTCGAGCCCCCAAGCCAAGTTCAAACGTATTTTGCCTCTTGGCCACGCTTCCCACAAGATGCAGGTTTTTTAAAAGCACTTAAGATGTATTAAAAAAATGAAATTTATTCCAAGTAAATGTTTAATATTTATTTCTGAATAATTTGTGTGTGTGAAATTATATTCCATGTTACAGTTTGAAAGCCTTGACATTTCTGTTGACACCTAACAAATGAATACCATAGAGGACACTGAGGAAGCTGATGTCTTGAAAGAGGACACTGAGGAAGCTGATGTCTTGAAAGATCTAAATGGTAACCAAATCTTATTCAGAATGACCTTTGACTTCTTAAATATATTTGTATGAGTATTGTTTCATTAAAGTAGCAAACGTTTTTTATGCAAGAGTTTCAATTTTGAGTAGACAACAAAAAAATTGGATGATGTTTGGAAGGCGCAGTGGCTGAGCGGTAAAGTGCTTGGCTCCCAAAATGGGGTCCCGGGTTGGAATCCTGGTGAAGACTGCGATTTTAAATTTCGGGATCTTTAGGCACCTCAGAGTCCGCTCAGCTCTAATGGGTTCCTGACATTATTTGTTATTTTACTTACAGCCTGAGCAAAACTTTGCAGTCAAACTTGTGATAAGTAATTTTTAAAAGCCTCTAATTGTTGAACAATGTTTTATCAAATACAATCACAATGGCAATGTCTTTGATTCCAAAGATAGGCCTAAAGGATTGGTGGTTGTGCTGACCACATGACACCCTCGTTAACGGGCCACAGAAACAGATGACCTTTACATCATCTGGCTTATAGGTCTAAAAGGGGAACGACTTACTCTACTTAGTAACTCAAGCTGTTGTTCTTTTTTTACTTGCACTATTAATTTTGAGATATGTTTTTTATATTTGAATCATTTGTTATGTTTGGCCCATTCTTACGACATGTTGTTTTGTATGAGACATTTATGTCTGAGTCACGCTTGTTACTACTCGCTTGTTGGGGTGTAACTTCAGACAGCTAGTTCAATATACCTTGTTGGCATGTTAATTTCTTAATACAGAACTCGAAAAAAACAAAAACAAACTTGAACAAATTACTTTCTAAAGAAATAATGACCGTAACTTTTATGAAAAAATGTTTGCAGATTCATCTTTAATGTGGATGTATGTTAAAACACAACGTTAAAATTATCTTGAAATTTTTTTTTTTTAAAAAGGCAGGAACTTTAAAAACAGACGTCTTTCCGTCACTAACTTCTTGCTTCTTCTCCTCCTATTTCGACTTCAATACGCTATTTATAAATTCAACTACGACAGACCTGCTTGAGGTTACATCACAAGGCATTTAGTCTACAGAAAAAAAAAAACTACATCCACCCATCTTTACCTAGGGCTGGCCTTAAAAAAATGGAGGCCCTAGGTGGCCGCCTAGTTTGCCTATGCCTAAGGCCCAGCTTTAGTCCTAATTGCATTAGAAACACGCACACACACTCTCTATAGCAATCCGGTTTGTTTTACTCCTTGCGATCATGTTGGAATGAAACAGTTTTACTGGAGCCACACTGTTATGTTTGAGTCAAACAGTTTTACTAGAGCCACACTGTTAGGTTGGAGTCAAACAGTTTTACTGGAGCCACACTGTTAGGTTTGAGTCAAACAGTTTTACTGGAGCCACACTGTTATGTTTGAGTGAAACAGTTTTACTAGAGCCACACTGTTAGGTTGGAGTCAAACAGTTTTACTGGAGCGACACTGTTAGGTCGGACTCACACTGTTACACTTAAGCAATATTTAAATTTGTACACTATGTTACTTCGTTATGGTATCAGCCATGTTTCAGCAATGTCGTATTTTATTTTTTATTAATATTGTCACAACAGATAGACATGAAACCGAAGAATTTGAGAATGACGACGAAGATGACGCAAGAAAGTTTGAGAACTGCTCCAAAAATCCTGGTCATGATACCTTCATAACATTGGAAACATTTTCTCAGGACCATTTGCCAGAATCACACCGCTCGAAAGTACTTTACGACTGTGTGAAAGCATTGGCGCAGATGACAGTGAAGATCTCTGTTAAATTGGTCAGCTCTGAGAGGCCGAGATATCACAAATCTAGTAAGTACCCGTATGGCGAGAGACACGGGAGCAAGATTGTTAGGAATGGAAGCGGAAGAATTGATTCTCTAGTTTGGCACAGAGATGAGAAGGATCCCTGTTCGTGCTTCAAGTGCCAGGAGTCCACTAGCCCCAGCAAAACTTGGATGGGGATTAGAGTCATGACTGCCAAACACGTGGTTTTTGATGCTGAAGAAGCCAAGAAAGCTTCCTGTAAGTTATTCTATGACAACGCAGGTAGCCCGGAAGTCGTTGTCTCTGGATTTGATGTTGAATACGAAGACATGGAAAAGGATCGATGTCTGTTCAAATGCGCGACGTGTGAGGAGAGCCTGATGCAGACGTTGAACGCGAATATGGATCACTTCGTCCAAATTTGGAAGAAAGCGCATAACAAATACAAGCATCATCAAGCCAAGCGCAAACTTGTTTGCATCGTGTCCCATCCGCATGGACATTATAAGAGGGTCACTGTTGGTCATCTCGACAGGGCAAGGAGATCAGGTCAGCTGTATAGACAATTTTTCTATTCGACTCCTACTTGTCGTGGTACCAGTGGGGCGGCAGTGTTTGTCATTGGCCACTCAGAGAATTTCTTTTATCAACATATTCATAGTGGCAGTGATGGTCTCAACTACAGTGGGTTGGCCTTGTAGTGAATAGACAATGTCAATACCGACTCTCTTGGTCACGATGGGATTCTTTGATTAGGCATTGAATATTTATTTATGTGCTCGATTCCAAATTAAATTCATAGTTCGTGCATATCGAAGAAATAACTTATGCTTGTCAAAACTTTACTTTTGAGTCTTCTATCTTGAAAGCTTTCTAAATTTAGTGATTTTACTAAAATGTATCAGCAACATGGAAAACATTACCCCCATATGCGGACTACGCATCTTTAAAATTTATTGTAATTATTGTTTTAAAAAAACAAAGCTTATATCAGCTCACTCTGTATCGGAATCGGAACTCTTTCTGAGATCAAGTTAAAACTTTATACAACCATTTATTGTACCTAACAAACGAAAATCACTAAAAAGAACAAATTAGTCAATTAATTGCTGATATTGTTAATTGTTATTGTAGAAAAAAAAATTCTTCAGTATTAAGAGATATGGTTGAATTTGTGTGGTTTCGTCCCTTTAGAAAATTTTACACATTTTTCTTTCCACGCTTATTTTCGGATCAAGTAGAAGCCTTACACATGTATTTATTGTACCTAACAAAACATGAATCCATTAAAAAGTATATGAAACAATTAGCTACTGTTGATTCATTATTTTGTTTGTGTTATGAACATAATGATAACAGAGTCAAGAAAACCATGTCAGCTTAGTATTGCTTTAATACACTGTATGACTACACAACACACATTTCGTGAACACATTCTTACGGACGAATTAGAAGCACATGTAAACATAAGAACGACAACCGATACAGCATATAATTTTCATAACAGTTTGATACCGACAATGAAATTAATTCTTCAGTATTCACAGATATGGCTGAACATGTAAGGCTTGGTCCTATTATATAATTGTTCACATTATTTCTCACACACCTATTATCGGATCAAGTTCAAATTTTAAACTATTATTTTTTGTACTGTTTATCTGTACGTAACAAAAATATATCTGTTTAAAAGAATTAACCAATTAGTCAATTTATTAATGGTAATTATTTTGTTTGATATCAAATAGTATGACTTCTAGTGAGTTCTACATTATCTCTCTCTCTATATATATATATAATTATTTTCTTCCCTCAACAGTTTGGACGAGAAGCAAGAAGTAAAGTAAGATCACTCTATTATTTCTGCGGATAGAGTTATCTTACAAACTTTACGAGCCTTGCGTGTAGCGAAGTCATACAGTATATCATGAAAATTTTATTTCCTACATAGATCACGCTCAATAGCAAGAATTGACACATGTTTCAATCTATCTACAAGAATTGTTGACCTCAAGTAATTATTCATAAGTTTGAGGCGGGAGATGCTTCTTTCACCACATTACACAATTACGGCTAATACATAATGCCGTTTTTATTTAAAAACGTAGGATTGGCGTTTTCCTCATTGAGTGACACCCCAAGATAACAATTTTTGTCTATATATTTCATGAGATTCGTATGAGTTTTCCAAAGATTTTTAATAATTTCCGGAGATTTCTATGACTTTTTCATATATTTAGCAATTGCATAAGATTTCCAGGAGCTCCTGATAAATCAGGCGGCCGCAAGAAATCTGTTATAAGTTATAAAGTGGTTTAATTTAATAATTTACACAAAGAATTAGTGCGGGTCCTATGAAAGTGTGGGGCCCAATGCGGTCGGATAGGTTGCTATGGCCGGCCCTGCAAAATAGCGGCGTATCTTCGCCATGGGTCGACTATATATATATATAACAAGAAATCTACTCTGTTTTCACCCGTCACTAAATAGCAGGGCCGGGCTTAAACATTGTGGGGCCCTATACGAAACGGAATTCGCTGGGCCCTGTTTGGGTAGGGATACGGATTCTAAGTGAAAATTAAGAGTTTATATTAGAAAATAAATTCTTTTTTGCATTTTATTCATTCTTTACTACGTTCAGAATTACTTTACGACCCTTGCGTGTAGCGAAGTCATACAGTATATCATAAAAAAATCTATTTCCTACATAGATCACGCTCAATAGCAAGAAATACAAAATGTTTCAATCTATCTACGAGAATTGTTGAGCTAAAGTAATTCTTCATTAGTTTCAAGCGCGAGAAGCTTCTTTCACCAGATTCCAAAATTACGGGATAATGCCGTTTTTTTTTTTATCGCGTGTAGGATTGGCATATTCCTTATTGAATGACACCCCAAAATGACAACTTTTGTCTATATATTTTAGGAGATTCGTATAAGTTTTCTAAAGATTTTAATAATTTCCGGATATTTCCATGACTTTTTTGTATATTTTGCAATATCAAGAGATTTCCAGGAGCTCCTGGTAAATCGACCGGAGGCCGCGGGAAATCTGTTATAAGTTTGACAATAGTTTAATTTAATAATTTATACACCTAGAATTAGTGCGGGTCCTATGAAGGTGCGGGGCCCACTGCGATCGCATAAGAGCGGAGCCCACTGCGGTCACCTAAGGCTAGCCCTGAATTATAGTGGCATATGCTACGCCGCCGGTGGACTAGTTGATATATTTAGTTGTAAGTGCGCACAGTTCTTCTGTTAGATTAGCTTTGTTTTTCAAAAATGATTTTGTATATTTTGCTTATTTATCTTTATAAACATTTATCGCCTTACATACGGCATTGTATGAATTAAATACTTAAGTAAGAGAGAGAGAGAGAAACTACATTGAAAACATGAGCCACTAGTGAGATATTTTCATTGTTTATTTACAACATTCGTCTCCCTTTACGTTTTACAATCTATTTTTACCAATTCCAAATCTTGTTCCACATTGTTGAGGCGACATTTTTTATTTTACTAACACCATCTGCATAATGTTTGGCGCTGTGTGCAGTTCCTAAGCCGAGCACTCCGCCAGCGACATGCGCAGAATACGAAATGCCTGCCGCTCCGGCTGACTGCAGCACTCCTACTGGAACACCGTAAGACATCAGGGTTGCTCCGATTGATCCAGCCGTGATACCAGCTTCAAAGAAAATTTTTTAAAAAATTGAAAGACACTATAACGGATAGTAACATCTTTGGTAGCTAGCTATTTTGGTATTGGACCTGTTGATAAGCCCAGATAAGCTATGTACTTTTAAGATGTATATCTTGATTTGTATCCACTTTTTAGTACCTTAAAAAGTGTTGGATTCACCCCTTATGCAATATAAGCCCCCCCCCCCCCCCCCAATTGAAAAATTGCTTTTGTTGATTATCTTTATTAAGTCAAAATCCGGTCCTGACCGCTAAGTGTCTCAGATCTTTCACTAGTAGTTCAAAGTAATTGTATTATCTAGTAGATGGTAGTGACTTTTTAATTTAGTTATTAGACATTTTGTTTAGTTTATCTATATCATTCAAAATCTCACTAATTATTCCTATTTTTATTTATTACAAAGCTTATATCAACTCTGTCTGTCTGTCTGACTGTCTGTATGGTAAAAAGTATGTACATATTATTTCTCCCACACCCAATCTCGGATCAAGCTGAAATTTAGCGTAATTATATTTAGTACCTGACAAAGCAGAAATCACTTTTTTAATTAGTTAATTAACTATAGGTAATTAATTTTTTGTTTGGTATCGAACATGGGAAAGAAATCGTACTTGACAGATGTGGTGGTATAAGTTAAATTAGTTTCCTTGAGGAGGCTTGATTTTAAATTCAAGTCTATAATTTTTTTTATGCAGTTAGAAAGCGATCACAGTAACCTTATGGGATACCTCCTTCTTGCCTCCCCCTTTTCCAACTGGTCCAGACAAGGGATAGGATCACAGTATATTGAAAATATTGTTTGAATAATAAATATCTGTTTTTTTTTAAATTGAAAACTGAACTAAGAGAAAATTACTTACGTTTTAATTGATCTTGTCAATAGTCAGATATCTGATGTTATTGTTACATTGTTATACTAATGCAGTTATACACAGGCAATTGCTCTATATAGCTAAAGTCAATTGACTTTTGAATCGGCATTTATCGCTTACCTGATGTAAAGCCCATACCAGCGAGCGCTACGGGACCAATCAGACCTACAGTTGCGGCCCCAACAACAAAACCGACCGCCTCTTCCCAGTAAGCGTTTGAGGTCAAAGGTTGTCCAAGTAAAAGGAACAACAAAAATAATGCAGCCTGTTGATTTGCCATAGCTGGAAAAAATAGTTGAAATTTTGCAGAATTATTCAAATTGGATAACAATACACGAATCAATCCAAGAACTAACCAATTAATTAACCATTTAGTACTAATTAATTAATTTCGTTATATATATATATATATATATATATATATATTTATTTATTTATTAATTATAACAGAAAGGGAGATAAACCCGTAATTTTTCAGATAAATAGCTGTAAATAGCTGTTGCCTTCCTTAGATAAGCTTTGTTTTGAACAGAATCCTCTATCACAGCGGTTCTCAACCCCTAATACGATTCTCCACTAGGCGGCGACCCCCAACCATAAAATTTGTTTCGGCCTTAGGCCTAAGCAAGCCCTAAATGTGATTTTGCTAACGTTATAAAAACATAATCAAATTTTAAATTTATGATTTATTTAAGCTTTATATCATTGTATAACAAAATATGAGCTTAAACTACTATTAAAAAAATTGCTGTTATGACTTTTCTATTGAATGTTCATTATATTCATGTTGCATAATTAAGTGACAATTTGAAATGTATGACTAAGTATGTAAAACGTTAGCCTACAGTCTCTGATACAGTAAACTATATTGCTACAAAAGTTTTGTTGTAACAGTATTTGCCAACAAGCCAAAGTCATTACGAATGTTGAGAGTGTTTCTGTTTCACCAGTTCAGGACAGACTTTGCAAGATCCCAACCAATGTCATCTTCAGCATCAGTCTATCACTCAGTCTATTTCTGAATTGATAACTAGCAAACTGGAGAAACATGGTTCGCAGAGATATGTTGTTGGAAATGGAAGAAGAAGGCGCAAAACAATCTCAGGTAGAACGGAAGATGTCAGCAAGTACATGATTCAGAGTTGAATAAATAACATTGAAAATATTTTAAAAATTCAGCTGCATCGTTATTGGTGTAATGCTGGTGGCAGTGTATTCTTTGCTAATACATAACCATGAATCCTACAGTGAGTTTCGATGACTTTTAGTGACTCATTCAGAACCAGACGTTGAAATCAAAACGAAATCCAAACATACTCGAAGCACCATCTGTTTGTAAAATAGAAACTCGTCTTGAAAATCATGTAAACCAGCAATTGTGAACAAGTTGGAACGTCTGTGAATTCATCAAGCTGAATGCTTAATATTGGAAGCGGAGAAGATATCATTTCCTGAATTACCTGATTGATAATTTCAGCAGAACTATTCTCAATGGGAAAAGTGTTATTAGATAAAAAAAAAAAAAAACGCAGTAAATTTAGTGACGAATTCGACTCCATTCATAACTTGACCAATGTCTTTGACCGCTGGCAATTTTTAACTCCTCGGCAATGGTGTGAGATTTGATAGATCTGTCAAGTCTGAGAGCTACCAAATACGAAGTGATAACGGCTGCTGTTTTGATGATGAGTTTAGATTTTTTGACTCAGTGAGCTTTAAAACTAAACTACCAGAT